TGAATAGCTAGAAGAATCAACTGACACAACAAACATGGTTCTTCTTGGACAATTCACCAAAAAGTTAATCAATGTCCTCCCTCTCTTATCAGTCCAGCCATCAGTCATTACGGAACACCCATATTTTGCACAGTCCTCTTTATGATTCTTCATCAAATCTACAGTATGTTTCACATTTTTTTTGAGTTGGGTAACCCACACTTCATAGTAAGTTTGTAGCTTCATACCAGGAGCATATTGCCCAATGGCTTCAATCATTGGTCCAAAACACTCATAATTTACTGCATTAAAAGGGATACCAACATCATACATCTACCTTGCAAATCTTTGCACTGCCCGAGCTCTCATCAATTTTTGTTTGCTTCCCTTTTGCTTGGTCTTTTCGATTTTTCACCACTGAATTGGGATTGGATGTGAAGTAAACATCCATAGGCTCTTTTCTCTTTGGCCTTTTTGGGTTAAATTTGGATGAACCATGGCTACTGCTACTTATCAACTTACAGCGTGGATTGATCTCAACATCATCGTCATCATTTTCATCTTCCATATTCATGTCATCAAAATCAGGCGACATATTCATTTGTTCTTTTTGCGTCTTCTTTTTGGACATGAACTCTCTAATCTCTTCTTTTACATGAGGTGGACACTTCGGGCAGGCAGTGACATTCCTATAACATCCCACAAGGTGGTGTTTCACCCGATAAGCACCTCCATTTCATATTTTGCTACAAAAATTACATTCTAACTCATTTGAGTTATTGGGCTCTACCAAATGTGCATGTTGCCACGCGGGGTCTTTTTTATTACTTTTAGATGTCATTTTCTACTACACAACACAACAAATAAATGAAATATAATTTCAGTATAATGTAATGTGTTTGATGTGATGAATTAATTATTTATAATTTTTTTTTCCCCCTAACAAAGACTCAACTGTGATTGCTGCAGTTTTCACTACCATAATAAGAAGAAGTACAGAGAGCAACACTGCTATATTCTACAGAGAGCAAAGAAGCAGAAGAAGAAAAGTATTACTAAAAATAGACTCTATGAGTCTCTAATATATTACATAGTGCCCTTGTATATCTTTGCCTAATCGCAACAGACTTGCAAAAAAAACTCTCAGCCTTCGTATAAATACTTATCTCATTAGTAATCAAATCTTGAACAGCAACATCTAGAACCAACCTTTGCATGCATTCATAAAGCTCATTCATCACTTAATGATCTTTTTGCACCTCTTAACGCTTTTGGATAAAAGAATTCTAGGTTAAGAAAGTGCGCAACTGCATGTAAAGGTCGATGCAATTGGACATCCCACCTTTTGTCAATGATTCCGAAGATTTCATTATATTTCTCTTCTTTATGATCAAACGAACTTGCAATGCATTCTTTTACCCTATGCATTGCCTCATAAATATATCCCATGGGAGGTTTCTTCTCAATATCAACCAATCTAAACACTTTGACGAAAGGACCCGAGACCTTAAGGCCAAACACAACATTATTCCAAAATGAAGGTATCAACAAAGTTTGTGCCATTCTTTTACCTTGTGGCTCCTTTACCCATTTGCTTGAGGTCCAGTCTTCGGAGGTGACCATCTTTCTCATATTGTTTTTTTGTGTTGATGCATCCTAGACAAAGTCAGAAAGGCGGTTGCAAATCTAGTTTTTGCAGGCTTGATCAAATTCTTGAGATTTGTATAGAGCCTCATCATGTTTAGCAAAGTAGGGCGGTTATAAATCTAGCCATGTACTGCAATACCCCTTTCAAATGTCTTTCTCAGTCAGGGTATCTTGAAAATGTCTTCTAACATTAAGTCCAAGCAATAAGCAACACATGGTGTCCAATACAAAGGTTCATACTTGGCTTCCAAAAACCTCCCTAAATGTAACAAAGAATTATTATTTTCAAGTTTTTAAATTTTACCTACAAAACAAACTATGAGTAAAGAATTTTTAAGTAAGGAAGGCGGAAAGATTCTTACCCGCCAACACATTAGCTGCAACACTATCAATGATAACGTGCACCACATTCTCTTTTCCAACTTTCTCCACAAACTTGTCTAGCAATTCAAATAGCTTCTGTCTACCCTTTGAATAGCTAGAAGAATCAACTGACACAACAAACATGGTTCTTCTTGGACAATTCACCAAAAAGTTAATCAATGTCCTCCCTCTCTTATCAGTCCAGCCATCAGTCATTACGGAACACCCATATTTTGCACAGTCCTCTTTATGATTCTTCATCAAATCTTCAGTATGTTTCACCTCTTTTTTGAGTTGGGTAACCCGCACTTCATGGTAAGTTGATGGCTTCATACCAAGACCATACTGCCCAATGGCTTCAATCATTGGTCCAAAACACTCATAATTTACTGCATTAAAAGGGATACCAACATCATACATCTACCTTGCAAATCTTTGCACTGCCCGAGCTCTCATCAATTTTTGTTTGCTTCCCTTTTGCTTGGTCTTTTCGATTTTTCACCACTGAATTGGGATTGGATGTGAAGTAAACATCCATAGGCTCTTTTCTCTTTGGCCTTTTTGGGTTAAATTTGGATGAACCATGGCTACTGCTACTTATCAACTTACAGCGTGGATTGATCTCAACATCATCGTCATCATTTTCATCTTCCATATTCATGTCATCAAAATCAGGCGACATATTCATTTGTTCTTTTTGCGTCTTCTTTTTGGACATGAACTCTCTAATCTCTTCTTTTACATGAGGTGGACACTTCAGGCCGGCAGTGACATTCCTATAACATCCCACAAGGTGGTGTTTCACCCGATAAGCACCTCCATTTCATATTTTGCTACAAAAATTACATTCTAACTCATTTGAGTTATTGGGCTCTACCAAATGTGCATGTTGCCACGCGGGGTCTTTTTTATTACTTTTAGATGTCATTTTCTACTACACAACACAACAAATAAATGAAATATAATTTCAGTATAATGTAATGTGTTTGATGTGATGAATTAATTATTTATAATTTTTTTTTCCCCCTAACAAAGACTCAACTGTGATTGCTGCAGTTTTCACTACCATAATAAGAAGAAGTACAGAGAGCAACACTGCTATATTCTACAGAGAGCAAAGAAGCAGAAGAAGAAGGAGAGAGAGAGAGAGAGAGTCGAAGTCGAAGTTGAAGTCGAAGTCGAAGAAGCATAAATAAATAATAAAAAGCAACCAGCGAAGCAGAAGAAAAGGATGAGGAGAAGAAGAAGAAGAGAGACACATACACACACACACACACACAGAGAGTCGAAGTCAAAGAAGCAAAAAAAAAAAAAAAACAGAGCAAGTCGAAGAAGAAGCAAGCAGCGAAAGAGAAGAAGAAAAAAAAAGACAACAGATTTCTTCTTCGCTGACCAGTGAAGAAGAAGAAGCAGAAGAGAAGAAGAACTGACCTGATGAGTCGAAGTCAACGTCGAGAGAGGAGAGGAGCCCAGTCGAAGTCGAGAGAGGAGCTCGGTCGAAGTCAAAGTCGACAGATTTCTTCTTCGATAGATTAGGGCTTTGAGTGAGTCGTATACTAATTTGGATTGGGTTGTGTTATATTACATGAGTTGTAATCCTATGCGGTTGGAGCCTCTCCCACACAGATCACAACCATTAGATCAGATTCAAGAAGAAAAAAACAAAGCCCCTTCAGGCTCGCGCCTTGCGCCTCGCTACGCCTGGTCAAAGTCGCGTCCAAGGCATGCGACTCTTCAAACACGCCTCGCCTGGGTCCCCTTTGGGCGCAATAGGTGCGCCTCGCTGCGCCTTGCGCAAAGGCGTGCTTTTCACAACACTAAGCTAGACACTATATCAAATTGATATAGAATCAATGAAGCACGGGTGCTTACTGGGTGCGGGTACGCGTACCGGGTACGCCGTATACTGTATGGGGAAGTTGGATGCGACATGGGTAGGCGGTGGGTACTCCACAACAACTATTTGCATATCAGATTTGGTTCAACCTTTGATCTCTTTAAATCAGTTTATGAATTCTCATTCTGTAATCTAGATTTATTCATGTCCGAATCTATTTAATTTTATTTAAAATATACATTTTCTACAACACTATTTCCATATCAGATTTGGTTCAACCTTTGATCTCTTTGTCAATTTGCTTCGAAGACATTTGTTCAATTATTTTGGTGAGGTCTTAAAACTCACCTAAGGGTGTTTTGTTAGACTTTCGTGTCGTCTTTGTAATCATTTATAAACAATTTTAGGGATAGTGAAATTAGATCCCGTGGACGTACCTCAATCTGAGAGAACCACATAAAAATCCCTGTCTTTGGTGATTTAGGCCAAGTTTGGCATGTCTTGAAAAAGACAAAAAGTCAAAAAGTCACTATCCTATTTAAGTCACATCATCTTATTTAAGTCATATCACCTCTCTAACACATCACTTCAAACCCAACTCATATTTCATAAAAAGTCAAAAAGTGCACTTATTTAGATCATTCCAAACAACCCCTTAATTTTTTGCATAATTTCATTTCTTTTGATCTATTATACTTGTGAAAAATCATCTATTTTTCTTAACACTACACAGCAACCCCATAACTTAGGTGTTCATGGTCCCTCACTGCCACCCTCTTTATCTTTGAGGTTGCCTTGGTCTTCTCCTCCATTGCCTTTCGCAATCCTTGGCCATTAAAGTGCCCACCATCTTTCCAAAGATCCATTTTATTCAAGCTGTAACTCTAAATTTATCTAATAAATATCCACTCCATCTTTAAAAAGACCAACTATATTCATGAAGCTTATACAACTCACCACAGTAACAAATCATATAATAATAGTTTAATGCACTATTCATTCATTTATTACTAGAGCATCAAAATGATAATGGATGTGGCAAGGAATGCAAATAAGAGGATGGCTTTAGAATCTCTTAGCAAGTCTTGATGTATCAAAATCAATGGAATACTTCTTTCTTTTCTTTTATTTTCAGTTTTTTTTCTTTTGATAAAATATATACACTATTTTTTTTGCTGTATCAAAATTATTATTACTTGTCATACATGATGCACATTACAGGTTATGAAACTTCAACAAGAAAGTACAAATTTACAAATTCAAACCCATAATTGAACTGAAACAATTGAAATGAATCAAATACCTTGTGAAATGTTATATTTCCAAGCTGGTCCGATGCGGCAGCCTCAAACGCCGTGACCAAATCCCCAACCCGGTTGAAGTACACCCCTTCACAAATCCTCTGCAAATTCTCAAACACCGGCTCCAACGATAAAACCCTAAACCCCATCACCGCCGCAGCGAAAGTGGCCATACCCACATTGGCCCCAACATCCACAAAAATCCCATTCTTTCCCTCACCCCTCATCTTCTCCAACACGTCCTGAATGGTCACCGAGATGTCGGGTCGCCTAAATAGTTTGCCTTTCAGGATCCGAGCAATGTTCTTGTGGGGCTTGTCGGGTAGGGTTCCGAAATCCGAGAGAGAGTAGAGAAACGGGTGTTTGAGACCCTCAACAACATTGGCGATGATGGGGTGGGCCTGTGGGCAGGTGTAGCAATCGAAGGGTTGGATTGTTGGGTGGAGAGCTAGGGTTTTGAAGGTGAGATTAGGGTTAGGATTTGAGGTGCCAGATGCGAGGAAGAAGAAGGTGATGAGGAGAAGAGAGGTGGCGAGAAGGAGGAGGAGAAGAAGGGGTTTGGGGGAGAGGAGCTTTCCGGGTCGATCTCTTTTCCAGGCATTTGCCATGGAAAATGAGAGAGGAGATGAAGGAAAGTTTGGGGTTTTCCCGGAAAATTTGTGAGATTTCTGGGAAAATCAAAGACTGGATCTTGAGAGAGTGTTGTTGTTTGCCTTTTTCTTCTTGCTCTGGGGATGGAGGAAAGTTTACAAACATGCACCTCATTTACAGTGGGGAGCTAGCTAGTTTCAGCAGAGGAGGTTTCCTTCGACTAAGGGTGGAAAAATGGCCCGCCGTCCATGGACGGTCCAAGACGGGTCCAATCCGTTTAGGTTTGATTGGATTCGGGCACGAACTTAGCCCGAATTTTTGGGTTTGGGCCTGGGCCTAAGCCATCATTTTGAAGTTTTGCCCGTGATCTGACCTATCAGTCAGCTTAAGGCCCATTTAAGGCCTCGCTTGAGACCCGGCCCGCCAGAGGTAAGTGTCTTTTTTTAATTGAAAATAATAAAATTTTAGTAGAAAAAATTAAAAAAATAGTCAGACCCGCCCAATCTCGGCCCAAGCCTAAGGCCGGGCCCAGCCTATCGGCCCGCCCAAGGCCCGAATACCCCTAGCCCTAGGGCTGGGCCTAGGCTTATTTTTTAGCCCGTGGGCCGGCCCAGCCAAACCTGAATTTTAGCGGGAACCCGCGAGGCCCGATATGGATCCGGCCAGATTTACACCCCTACCTTTGACACGACTGTACCCAATATTATTGTGCATTTTCACAAGTTTTTTTGTCTTTAATTTTTATTTTTTAACAAATACAAATCTCAAAAAACAAAAAAACAATAACCAAAACAAATATGACAAATATTTACATAAATATTGAAGTGCAAGTAGTTTTGGTGAGAGTGAATTTTTTTTTTTTAATTCAATTTTTTGTTTTTTGATTCTAGGTGAGAGTGAAAGTTGCGATACAAGACAGAACACACCATTGTATTAATTTGCACCTATATAATTTTATAAAATATTATTATATTTTTATATATTTGTAATTTTTTTAATTATTTTTGTCATAAATCTCATGTCTTATGATCCATTTGATCACATTTATATTCTTATAACTCATTAAGTCTTCTTTAATGTGAAATGACTTCATTATCACTATTTCAATATGAAAAGAAGTGAATACTATAAATCTTGTTTCAAAATCATTCTGAAAATGAATAAATTTGAATATAATATTCTTAAGAAATAATCTTATGATTGTTTATTACATTCCATAAAAAGAATCTCCAAATTTAGAAAGTCCAACATTTGTTTTTTTCCCACAATCAACAACACTAGTGATTGAAAAAACGAAAGTTCATGTATTTACTAACATCAGTACGGACGGCAATTTGAACCCGACCCGACGGTGACCCGACCCCCCGTCCCTGATACGAGCGGTTTTTCCTTGAAAAATACTCTCGACGGACCGAAGACAATATTTAAAATTGAATTCCCGATCAGTTTTGGGCCAGGGGCGGGGATAGCTATCACAGCCCCGAACCAGGCCCCGTCCCTGGCCCCGTCCCCGGTTCTCCTCGAAATGAAATTACCATCATACCCCCTTTATTCATTCGCATATATATCCCCTCCCCTATCCCTATGTCCTCCGATATGTCCCTCTCTCACTCACTCTTCTCTCTACTCTCTTTCACTCACTCCTCTTCCCAGTGGCGACGGCGAGTGCGATCTCCTCTCTCCAATGGCGACGGCGTCATCTCCTCATCCGCACCAGTACGCACATTCTCGCCTCCTCCTCTTCCGTCGCCTCCTCCTCCATGCCAACGCCGAACCTTCATACTCCGACTTCAGTTCCAACCACGACAGATCTGGGCAGATCTGAGTAGATCACATCTCCTCTGCACCACCGCAGATCTTACATCTCAGACGTGAGAAGATCAGATCCCGCCATACATGTATGTGTGTGTGTCACTGTGTGTAATCTGTAATCTGTCTCCATATTATTATTACATTTTTTTTTTTTTTGTGGTTGATGATGTTGCCGTTTGATGATGTTGTTGATGAAAATGATGTTGATGATTTATTATTGAGAGTGAGAGAAAGCTAAACAGAGAGAGAGGGAGCTACGGGGATTTTCCGGGGTCGGGGAAACCCGATCCCTGTTGGGGGCGGAGATGGACGTGGGGGTGGGTGATGGGTTCCCCGTTGGGGATCGGGGACGGGGATGGGGAGTTTTGTAGCTTTGGGGATCGGGGACGGGGAGTGCGATCCCCGGCCCGGCCCCGCCCCGCCCTGCCCCGCCCTGTTGCCATTCCTAAAAACATCAGTAACCCAACGTTTAGTTTTTGGGTTTCAACACAATATCACAAAATCAATATTTACAACCCAATGTAATGTAAACATTCACATGGAAAAAATATATACATATTCAATGACAATGCCAATATTTGTATCAATATTCAATAACAGTGTGAATATTTATATCATAGCATAATATTTATGTCATAACAGTGGGTATATATTTTGCGAAATTCACAAAATAGTAAGATCTTTGAAACAATAGCAATGTGCATGTTTACTTTCAAATCAAGATCAATGTTCATGCTATATCAGTATAAACTTTTAGTGTAAACTTTCACATTATTACAGACTATGTATAACAAAATGAATATTTATATCATACTGGTATCAATACCATACCAGTGTGACATTATATTTTGTATTATTGTGAAGGTTCATACAATTGCATATTCACATCAAAGCACTTCCTTGGTCCTGCATGTGCAACCAAGGAAAGTCTACGACCTAGGTAAATGGGAAAAGAGTCCCTTGCTTTCGGTGTCACGACCCGAACCAAGCCCTATGGGTTTAGACTGTAATTGGCTAGTAATCTTAGATTACCCGGCCTCAATAATAGAATTAACAGAATTTATAATACAATATACGGGGCCACAAGCAGAAGCAAAATATAAAAACTTTTCTATTGAGCTGCGCATACATGACATGATCAAAACACACATGTTATATCTCACACCTAACAAAACATAAAAATTATACATGTCCAAGACCATTCAGAAATTGGCAAACCAAAAACCAAGGTTTATATACAGACCTGGTCTTACATGACCATTAAAAGTAAACAAAAGAAAATCAAAACAAAAGCCTCGTGCGTGAGGCAACCTTGGCTGACTCCAAAATCTCGGTAACCTTTTACAGTCTCACTAAGGCTGGGGCTGGACATCCCACTGCTTACCTACAGATCATAGTAATTCAAAAGGTTATTGTCATAACTGAAACTTATTTTGAAAACATGTAACAACAATTACAGTTACCAAACCTTTCATTCGTTGTCACATTGCGAAGTGCCTAAAGGCCTTATTTTACTTGCCGAAATACCATATGGAACATTCATATTGAATGACCTCATTCGGAACACCCATATTGGTGACTCATACGAAACATCATATTTGATGACTTATATGAAACACCATTCAAATGACTGATACAGAATGCAGAACATCACATTAATGACTTATACGGAATACAGAACATCAGAAGGATGACTTCTAATACGGAATGAAGAACATCACAATGATGGCTTATACAAATGCAGAATATCACTTTGATGTCATATATAGAATGCAGAACATTACTTGATGAGTTATACTTAATGAGCTCATACAGAGCGTCTTATACGTATAGATTCCATACAGAACGATTACCATCGAAGTCATATAGAACAATCATCAAGGTCGACATCACATAGAACGTTTACAACGGTTCAATAACTTATACATAACGTCACTTACGGATCATCGACAAAATAGTGGTTACTGAATGGTCAAAGCACATTTTCGTGTCATCGTTCAAAAGGAAACTCATTCATTCTTAACAAATCACAATTTCGGAAAGCTTATCTCATTTTACACAATTTAGAGTTTCAGAGCATAGCTTAGTGTCTCAAAGTACTTGTTTGAAAATCTTGAATCGTATCTCATTACATATACAAGGTGTAGGTTTCGTAATTCATTGCATAGTAAAACTACTTTCAAAGTAATTCATACTAAAATACTGTAACAAAGACATTACTCACCTCAAGTAGGTTGTTGTCCTTCCACAATGTTCAAACCTAGAGGCTTTAAACATACTTGTTCTTGTACAAACTTTGACCAAATCAAGCTAACCCTTCAATCTCTACACATTTTCTCTCTAGATGAGAGCTCTCCCTCTCTCTCTATAATATATAATCAGATTTTGGGAGCTCAAAATGAAGACGAGTTGAGCTCAAATGAGTTTAAGGCTCAATATATATACTTGGAGTGGCTTAATACAACAATTAGCACATTAGACCAAATAAACACAACTTAATTAATTAATTTGAATCAATTTTTGATCAAACTTGCCATAAGGTTCTAAAAATTCCAATCAATCTAATCATGTACTGAATTTTGGTTTCTAGCGCCATTAAGGCCTTTAGTTTTAGATTCAGAGTGGAAATCAGAACAGATTTTCCTACGATCAATAGATAATTTCCAAATTGAACATATATACTCAAATTAATCACATAGCACATATCACAATTAATAAATAACACATAATTATAATCATGATATGCATGTTGGGGTCGTTATAGTCTTCCCCCCTTTTAAGAAGTTTAGTCCTCGAAACTTACACTACTTTATATCATAAATGACTCGGAATACCTTGCATCAGAAATAGATCAAATACTTTGGTCTCATAACATTCTCCCTTTTTAGCAGGCGGATTATTTCTCATCAACCCTACCACAAAAAATTGATCCATTTACCTTTATCACAGAAGTTCGATTTGTTTCCCAGTTATTCAACAATTTACAGTTCAACTCGATCATTCAGTTCAGTGATCTATCATAGTCATTCAAGTCTTTCAGGCTTATGAACCATAGTATCAAAGGTAATATCAAAGTAGTCAATCACATTTGTACGTAATTCACATATCCCCATAGCCCCAATTGCAGAATGCGATGATACTGAGCAGTCAATCACAAAGCATACTGAATTCATACACTTTCAGATAATCGAGGTTTCCTAAGCCTAATAGTGTTCATAATCAAAATAGTTTGCGGTCAACAATTCCCATAGCATGAATTGCAACATCCGACAATACTAAAGCAACTATTCTCTCATATAATACATATTCTATCGGTCACAGGTAACGTTCAGACACTATTTGTAGTCATGTAGTCTGTCGACAGTCCACATAAAGTCTTCTAAATAAGTCAAGGTTTCAAAATAAATTCAAGTTTGGGTCTATCAATTTTCATGTCAAGAATAATCCA